GCAATTTGTGACTCTTTTTTATGGTTTATGGTGCCGTGTTCATCTCCGTTTCTATGCGATTAATCAACATTGCCCTATTTTAAACGCAGAACCTAAAGTATAGCATAATATCCAAATTCCTTCCTATCACAGCAGTATTAATTTGTCTACCTCTGATGGAAGAAAAGCAAATTTCCCAATCGAAGTTCGAACACGACACTTCTTAGTTCTGAGTTCGGCAAACTGAACAACCCATGCAGAAAAATCAATTCGTAAAATCCAACGCCCATGTCACTGCAACACATAACACGACAGTGCTAACGAGGCAACCGCACTGACTCAATAAACTTCTTACGTTTTTTAAGGCAGTTTTTCCCAGAAGGATTTCATCTCTAAGCCCGGAAGAAAGGACTGGCGATCACCTTTAATATTAACCGCTAAATAAAGTCAAGCGAAGACGGTTTCACAGCGCGTTGCCTGCCGACAAAGAAGAGGATGTCGAACCCAAGAGCTTGATGACGTCATGGAATGGGGAAAAAAACATCCTTCAAACCACAGGATGGACGGAAACCTAAAAATTTGGCATTATCTTTTGAATCTGCCCAAACTCCACAGTTATGTCGTAATCATTTTAAACGAAGGATGAAATCTGACACTACTTACGAAATAGTAATCGGTAGCTGGCAACAGATGTTGGAAAATTAAGAATTCTATAGCTTTCAAATTGGAAAAGTTATCATAAGTCATGATAATTACAAAAACAAAACAGCTTACACGTTGGATCATGGTGTACGCAGCGAACCTCTTCATCTAAAAATAAAAATAAAATTTTAAAGTTTTGGATAAATAAACCTTACCCCGTTAAACGGATGAGAAGGAATTTCGTCGTTGGATAGTGCATTTAAAATTTACAGTTACTCAACTTATGTAGTCTATGAGATTTTGCTACTAAACCTTTCTTAAATAAATGTTCAGTCAAAATTTACAGCGATTTGTCAGCCTTCTTTATTTTCCTAGCATGTTCCCCTTAACAAGGGTCTGCTAATCGAGCGAATCTCCTCCTCGAGCAATTTCTCAGCCTGCATGCTAAAATAGCTAAACTTCACAAAACATGAAGTGCTGCATGTTCATTTATTTCGTCCTCATTAAAGAGAATCGACACTTTGCTTCAAGTAAGAAACACCACAGATAAAACAACAATTTTACTAAAGAAGTGGTCACATCATCGTTATCAATATTTGCAGAAAACCGGGGGAGTTTTGAATCTACGCCATAGAGAACTTTCATGCTCATATTTTATCCAACGAGCCTCCATATAAAC